TCTCTCTCTAAAACAAATCAACAAAAAAGTTCTTTGGGTGAGGATTTTAAAAAATTGGTTAAAATGGTACATTTGATGTTATGTACATGTATTGTTTGTGTACATATTTTTATTTTTATTTTCTATACTTTGTGATGCTTTGACATCTTGGGGCCTCAGGAAGGGGGAGAGACACCCCTCCCAAGGGTGACTAACTTCTAGTGATACAGTAAATGAGTTGTCTGGAACATGCAGGCCAACCAGTGCAGAACCCCTACTCTGAACTCTCTTTTCTCTGGCTTTTACACGCCAGGAGGCGAAATTCCTCAATCCTAATCATCCCAGGGCCAGGGGCCAGACAACCAGAGACCACCCCTTTATAGCCCAGAGCCCACCAAATTATTGACTGTCCAGTCCTAAACTGCTGAGCTTGCCTTGCCCGCTCGTTCTCAGAAACCACAATCAGGGCGTTTAGAACGTGCTTTCCCCTTACTCTCTCCACCTGCAACCAACTCTGGGTTCTCCCCTGTGGCCAGAGGTCCCCCAACCCCCTAGGAACTGGGAGTAATAAACTCTCTTCTCAGAGGCCGTGGTCTCCTGATCTGCTGGCCTTACCATGCATACATAAAACCAAAATCCTGGGCATATTTCACAACGGTATATTTTAGCCCGACTGTTTAAAGATAACCAATTTTTAAACAGCATTGAGAAAAGACAGATGTAAGTCAAATATGGTACATCTGTGCTACAGTAGTTTAACAAAGTAGTTTCAAGTGCAGACTCAGAGGCCCTGGCTCAGTAGCTTAGTAGCTCAGTAGCTTAAAGTGTCATATCGACATGTCAAAGTTGTGGGTTTGATTCCTGGTCAGGGCACACACAAGGCTCAATCAATGGATGCATCTATAAGTGGAACAAGTCCCTCCCTCACCCCCGCCACTTCCTCTCCCCCCTCAAAAAAAAATTAGTGTAGACTCAGAAGTCAAATGCCCTGCATCTAAACGCTGACTCCACCCTTTACTAATGATGCCTTAGTTTTCTTATACGAAAAGTGGGGATAATAACAGAATGCACCTCTTAGGGCTTCATGAGATTAAATGGATTCAAACAAGGGGAGGTGCTTAGGACAGTGCCAGATATACAGTACGCACTGTATAAATGTTAACATTACTGTTATGAAATCTGCAGCCATTTAAAAAATGAGGGAGATCTGTATGTGCTGACAAGGAAAGATATACAAAAGGGGGGCCCCAGTTGTGTCAATTTCTTAGAGGAGAGAGGGATGAGCAAGTACTTCTTCTGGAAAAAGTTATACAACTATACCAAACTATGTCCCCCCAAAATAAGAAACAGTTTATTTTGGGGAAAAGGAAATAGGGATTTGGATAAGATGTGAGGGAGACTTTTGGGTTTTTTTTAAAATTAATACCTCTTATAGAACTTGACGTTTTTACCATGTCCATTCATGTCTAAAATCAGACATTTCATTTTTTGGATGATGGAGTACTTCTCATTGCTCTTTATTGCCACCTAGGGGATGCTGGGGGCATTGCCTGCCATGATCATTATCTTGGATGTTAACCTTCTTCACTATTTAATAAATGACCCCACTTTCCTGATTTAGTATCTTACACCAAGCAATGCATGACCTCCAACTTTCAGATTTAATGAGTTTGGTAACAATCAGAAACATGGATCCCTAATTATAAAAGTCTATGGATGTTAAAACAAAACAAAAAAAATAAAATAAAAAACAAAGATACCTAGTTTGATCTCCAATGAGTGACCAACCTTTCCAGCTTTATACTTATAATACAATGTTGATCAGCCTGACCCGTTGGCCTGCCCCAAATAATCTCACCTCACCCCTCACCCACTGACTTGTCCACATGCCTACATCTTTAAATCAGTCTAGCTGCCTGCCTTTGAATGCTGGTTCCGTGACATCCCAGCTGTGTGACCTTGAGCAAGTCACTTCGCCTCTCTGAGCTTCAGTTTCTTCATCTATACAATACAAGTGATAACAATAGTAGATCCCTCACAGGACTCCTTGGGGGGTGGATTACAAGTTGATGTATTAAGCACAATGCCAGGTGCATAACAGGGCTTGATAAATGAATTTCACTGTTAACACCTACAGTCTTCAAACCTCAACTTACTGTCGCTTCCTCCAAGAAGCCCTCCCAGGCCTCCTAACTCGGTCATGTCCCTCTCACTAGGTCACATTTTGTCCTCCCATGTGTCACTGATGACTGTTGGATGGGTGTTTGTATAACACACACTTTTTTGCCCAAATTTTTGAGGGAAAACTAAGGATGTGCATTATACATGGGTATAATGGTTACGTATCATGGGTATAAAAATCCCATGTTTGGTGTACACAAAAACGTGGGTGTGCATTTTACGTGGTAAAATATGGTATCTCTTCCCTCCCTGATCATGAGCAACTAGGAGCACGCGCGTGGGCCTGGTTTTGTCCGTCATTCGATCCCCAGGTCTGCCGCTGCGCCTGCAGAGAGCAGTCATGCCATACATATTTACTGATAAAGAAATAAGTTAGAAAACGGAAGCCCTCTCAAAAAACGAGATGTTAACAAGGGCAAGTGTCATGAGCCCAGGTTCTGACGGGCTGGGTGACACAAAGACAGTGTGCATAAAATGAATTGGGAAAAGGATAAACTATGCACCCCTACTATTTGTCCTGAGGACCAGCCCCAGGTTTTATTATTATTTTTAAATCAAGGCCAGGGCCCCTGCTAGTCCTTCTTATATATGTACACAAATTAGAAAAAGGCACTCGTTCCTTCAGGCAGGTAGAATCTCGAGACCTACTTGCCTCCTTGGGTCGGTACCGCCATGCAGGGCACGCTGCACAACCCCAGTTACTGGGCTGTCTCATTGGTTGAAAACCACAGAAAGCACCCACAGGATTCCACTTATCTTCCCTGAGCCAGAGCAGAAGTCTTGAGACTTTCTTCGTGCATGAAAGCATCTGCACAGCTCAGATTAGGGGTCCACTCCTCATGTGTTCTTCCTTATCTCTCAAGCTATTTTGGAGAGAACCCAAAGTTCAATGTCTTCATGTGCAAGGCTTCCCCACTAACTACTGTAAGAAAAACAGCTCAAAGGATGTATACTGGTTATCCGCTGGCCTGGCCTGAGTCCCTTCTGGGCTCCTGGAGAACCCGTGCCTACCTATATTACTGCCTTTCTGTGACTCTGTTTCCACTTCTACTCATTGGGGCTGGAACCATGTCTTACTTATTTTGTCATTCAAAAATTCTTTTTAAATTACAAAAATAACCTTGAGGCAGAAAATTTTTCAAACAATAAACTAAAGAGTGAAACTCCTCTTTCCACCTGCTTATTTTTCCAATCCCACTCCTACTCCCAGAAGGGCCACTATTAATAGCACGTTGTGTGTCTTTCCAGAACTTACCATTTGCAAGCATAATGATGCCAGTAAAAGTGCTGATGTTCATTCAATGTTTGCTAAGAGTCAGGAGCTATTGCTAGGCACTTTTCGTTCTCAATTAATTCACAAAACAAGCTTACACGGTGCATGTTCTTTTTGTTCCCCGTTTCACCAAAGAGAAAACCAAGGTGACAGTGACGAAGGGGTAAAGCCAGAATTTGAACCCAGGTGGGCTGACTTCAGAACTCATTCTCTTAACCTCTCCTGCTCTGCCCCTTGCTTTTGGAACGTCACAGACACGCCTCCATTGTCACCCGTGTGCTTCTCTTCCCTCCTTTTTAAAGGCTGTTCAGTGTTCCATAAAACAAATATATTTAATTCATTTAGTCATTCTCCTACTGACAAACGTTTTAGGATTTCGTAGTTTTTCATCTCCTTATTTCAACAAAGCTAAGATTCGACTGACTGAATGAAGCACCCGGTTTCAGGGAGATTAATGCGCATCTCGGAATTAATATATTACGGTATTAGAGACAATGCTGCAATAAACATCCTTGCATACAAATTTTCATGTGTGTATTTCTGCAGAAGTTTCCGAGAAGCAAAACTGTGCACCAAAATGAAGGTGCATTTTTTTTCTTTTTTAAATTTTGATAGGTACTGCCAAAATTCCTCTCCGGGAGACCGTAGTCATCGTGTTTCCGGTTTGCTCATCACAATGTACGGCCCTTTGCAGGCATTCAATAAAGGTTTGTCCGTGGACAAAAAGCATGACCAGGCCCAACAAGTGCACAGTATTTTGAGATAACTCACAAGCAAAATACATACACAACCATGAAAACCATGGCAGTGCCTGTCAGTGAGGATTCTATTTTACTATGACGTGTATCCACACTTCTTGCCAAAGCGCTGGCCACAGTAAATGACAAGCATTAATAAACGCATTTTATGCGGAATAATATCTCCAAAGTGATTGCAAAATTATCTAGCAAAAGGCTGTGCACTCCATTTTTTTTTAAATACACAAATAACTCCATGTTACAACTCCCCAGCTATTAGATGTGAGAAATTTCCAGAAATCTTATGGTACGTATTAAATGCACACTCCGCTCCAGAGCTTCGAGGAATCATAGTTTCTGGGGACCAGGGCCCGAGAATCTGCATTTTCAACAAGGACTCGAGGTGATCCTGAGGCACTCAAAGGCGTGAGAGTTAGTGCATGACAGGGATTTTGGAAGAAGAGTCTCTTAATTAAATTTGCCGTTTAGATCGAGCCCCGTGGCTGTAGTGTGCAGAAAGTGGAAGTGTTAAACATATCCCAAATACCTAATGGCAACACTCACCCCTAAACAGGGAGAGCCCCCCAGACGGCTAACGCGCTGCTGCGCCTCCTGCCGGCCTTCCGCAACCTCGTACAGGGCCGCCCGGAACAGTCCACTGCGACTGCGCACTCTGGAGCTCACGAAGACCGCCTCAGGGACCCTGCGAACAAGCCAATCCCTACCGGAAGCGGAAGTAAGGAACAGTTAGCCTCGCAAGCTCCGTGAGCCCCAGCCTTCCACAACGAGTAGACCCCACCAACTTGCAGAAGCCCCGGAAGCGGAAGTAGCTTAGAGGTGGGGGGAGTGGTCGGCAGTGTATTGGGTTGTCTTGCGCTGCTTGGGTTCGCGGCTGCTGCCTGGGCGGGGAAGGCGGGAGCGTGAAACCTCGCCCCTCCTGCTGACCTGGCTCAAGCCGGATTCTTGCCCGGAACCCTAGCCTGCAGGGTGCGGTACCCGGTGCTCCAACTCTTTACCTGGGTCCTGTGATTCTCCCGATTCCGGAAGTCCCCTGTCCCTTTCTTGGAGTGAAGCTCGGCCCGTCCAGCTTCCCTGTGTCCCCTCAAGCCCCGCCATGGGCAACACGAGTAGCGAGCGCTCCACGCTGGAGCGACAGGGCTGTCAGAAGACGCCCAGAAGGGATAGCTCGGGGGGCACCAAGGATGGGGACAGGCCCAAGATCCTGATGGACAGCCCAGAGGACGCCGACCTCTTCCACTCCGAGGAAATCAAGGTGAGGGGAGGTGGGGGGATCCGATTCCATTGGCTGATGTTGAGGTCTACTAGGCGCCCCGCCACAACGCCTCTAAAACTCATCATCAGAAGTGGGAGGGAGGTGATACTTCACCCTCTTTACTTAAAAGCCCTGTGGCTTTGTAAGATCCCTCTTAGCAGTCCAGGAGCCAGTGTCTAATTACCGATATGAGAAAGTCATCCCGAGGGAGGAGGAACGCACTTCATTTAACATCATTAAGGAGAAAGCGGCTCTGGGACAGAGTTTCAACTTCTTAATTAAGATCGTGGAGCTAGCAGTAACTGAACTCCAGTCTCTGCTTTTTCTCCTAGGTATACTAATTAATTTCACTTTGAGAAATCTTCGCTCCCCTGTAGGAAGACTGGCAGTTTTTGTAGTTGGTTTTGTGAGTTTATTGATCAGTTTGGAAATAAACCAAAGCACACAAGTAAGTTGAGTTGAACAGATGACAGAAGTTGCTAGAGGTGTTCAGTGCCCCCTAAAACTTTTGGTTCACCCTGCCTGCTGAGGGGGGGTGGAGAAAAGTAAGTCCACTTCTGCGGGTGGGTGGGTGAGTGACGTGTTAGTCTGAGAGCTGCAAATCAGCTTCTCTCCTGGTGTTTGAATAGGACTTCATATTTTAAACAAAATAAAGCAGACATTTTTGCAGACCATATGTGGGCTTCCTTTTGCAGTCTGGTTGAATTTATCAAAAAGTCTGAAAATGATTCTCGACTCCTTAGCTTAGGGGCAGTGAGGGCGCCTGGCCACCCATCTCGGGCCCACACTCCCCTGGGAGCGCTCACCTGTATGTTACTCATCGCCAGCCATTGGGTGATCTCACTCACTTGGAACTCATTCCAAACTTTATTCGCATTTTTTCCTCAGATGTTGGGCTGGGTGATCGAGTTATTACCTTACATTCTCACTTGGATCTTGGCTTTGAAGAATCTGCTTTTACTTGGCCTTAGATCCTGTGATTTGAACTTGTTTTCTGAATCTTTTGAATTCCTAAGAAGCTGTGTGCAAAGTGAACTTTGAAATCCTGGTTCTCCAACAACTTGACATTCCTTCCCCTGGTAATCATTTTGGCCCTGAGGGTGGCTGTTTTAAGACATTGGAAGAATCAAACAACTTTGTTCAAGAAGTATTTGTTCTGCTCCCATTCCAGAGCTTCTAAAAGAAATGTGTAGCTTACACAGATGATCTGTGGGAAATGATTTTAAACGGTGTCTATTTTAATTTTCTCAGAGGTTACTGAAATGATGTAGCAGACACACTGGATTGCCCCAGATAGCAAAAAAAAAAAAAAAAGAAAGGTCATGGATTCTTTCAGCCACAGTAATTTGCCCTTCTGGCTGCGGTGAGTCATCACGTCCCCAGCGGATCCGTCTCCGGCCTGTTCTTCAGCACGCAGGTCTTGCTAAGCTCCAGGAATGCAGGCATCTTCTCACAAGCGCTCACGTTAGCACTCGAAAGGCCCGTTCCACTCCTTGCAGGGTCTCTCCCTCCCAGGCCGGACCTCCGGCTCGTTCAGTCTTTGGCCTCTGACTCGGGAAGCTGTAACAGATCTAAAGCCACACACAGTTCCCCCGGGACTGGAAATGTCCGTTTCTCTCCGGGACACCCCAGTCAGACCATCGCTCCCCTCACTAGCAGGTGCTGTGGACCGTCCTGAGGGCCGCTCTCTGTCTCAGCGTTTCTCCCCAGTGTCTGGGAGGCGCTCAGTGGATGCAGTTTTTTCTCTTCCTCAGAATACAGATTTGCCAGTGTTCAGTTTCACAGCTCTGGAGTTGTCCTAGTGTATTTTCATGTACTTCAAAATCTTAATTAAGGGAGGAGGTCATAAAATGACCTTTATTAAGCTAATCTTGAATTAGCTTCCAGCCTTCTTCCAAGCGAGTTTTATCATCTCTCCTGGAACGCTAATGTCGTCCTCTTTAGTAATAGCACTAATGGTGGCTAGTCATTTTTAAGCACTTGCTGTGTGTCAGAACACTCTGAAGAACATTTTACTTGGCCTTTCTCACTTCACAGCTGTTATTTTTTCTATCTCCGTGTTGCTGATGGGGAAAATGACGCACAACTAGTCAGTTACTGGGCCTGAGTGTGAACCTAGGCAGTAACAGCTGCCTCCTCAGAATGAATGGTCAGCCTGAGGGTAACTGAGTCTGTAGGGAGCTCACTGATGCCTTCCTGCCCCTGAGTGAACCGCTCTGTTTCCAGGCTCCAGAGAAGGAGGAGTTCCTGGCCTGGCAGCACGACCTGGAAGTGAACGACAAAGCACCCGCCCAGGCTCGGCCGACCGTGTTTCGGTGGACAGGGGGTGGAAAGGAAGTGTACTTATCCGGGTCCTTCAACAACTGGAGTAAACTTCCGCTCACGAGAAGGTAAATTGCCTGGGAGTATGCACGCGTTGTCTCAACCCCGGGATGCTCGTTCCTGAATGGTCTCTGGGTGAAGAGAAGGGGACGTTTACATGACACAGACGCTGAGTGGAAAAACACTCTTGCTTAATAACTCATAGTGGTCACTTCTCACACCTACGTAGTCTCTGGGTTTGGAACACAGTTGGTTACAAGTATTCCTATTGCAGGCATCTTCCATTTCAGAGATTCAGCCGTGTGTGTGTTCAGGCAGGACTTCTCCTTCAGAAAAGGAAATCTGTTCCTTAGTACTGTAGAGAAAACACCCAGCTAGCAACCTTCAAGACCAGGATTCGAGTCCACAGTGGCTGAGCTAATCTGTCGTTAACACGGGAGCCTCAGAATTCCCGTCTGTAAGGAGCGAGTGTTGGACTGGACGACCTCTGAGGTCCCTTCTGACTTTGGCTCTCTGTGTATTACTTTTCTCTGAAAGGCAACATGTTGTGTAGGCATCATGAACAACACGCAGAAAAATAGTCCATCAGGAAGCCTAGCGTAGATTCCTGACTCCAAATGTCAGTGAAAAAGCACCCTCTCTAGGCCAGGCCTGAGTGCTGTCAGGAGGCCACCCGCTCTTCCAGGGTAATGCTGGTGCAGGGGGTGGCCGCTGGGCACAGTTACAAGTCACTTCAAGTCAGAGGAACAAAAGAGTCAAATGCAAGAGGTTTTCTGGAACCTTTTCAGCAGTTGTGTTTGTTCAGAGAACTATTCGTTATACATCCTGTTAAATTGATCCCCTGCCATGCTCAGGGCAGACTGACACAGAGGAGGGCCTGGCAGCGGGCTGTTGGTGGCTGCCCTCCCTGGCGTGAGCCTGCCAGGTGTTTACCTGCAAGTGGAGAAGGGCAGGTGCCTGTTAGCTGACCTTTTGAGTAAAGGGCGTTTGCAAGAAAATGTTGCATTCCGGCTTCCTTGTCCATTTCGTAGATTAAGATCACTTGAATTGTTGAATTGCTTAGAAATGTTTATACTTGTGCAGCTTACGTGGGAAGGTTTTGTTTGTTTTTTTTTGTGCTGTGGCTGGTTTTGTAAGTAAGCTGAGAGGGCGTCCCACCCAGCTGAAAACCTCTGCTTCCTGTCCCTCCCAGCCACAACAACTTCGTAGCCATCCTGGACCTGCCGGAAGGAGAGCATCAGTACAAGTTCTTTGTGGATGGCCAGTGGACACACGACCCTTCTGAGGTACCCTCCTCCTCCTGCCCTTTGTCCTCCGACTGAGACACAGTGCAAACAGTCCCTTACAGATCATTGCCAGGTCCCTTTGTCCTGCTGGTAGAAGTCCCTGTGTGTGGCTGAGCTAGGGGAAAACGGTGCTGGTTATCAGACTGGTGGCATACTTGACCAGGAGGAGCAGGTTGGCTAGCCGGGAGCCGGGCCCTTCCAGCTAGGAATTCTGATTTCTAGAATCAGAATCCTCTAACCAGCAACCGCAGAGACTTTCCGTGTTATGATTTCTGCCTGTCTGTCTCTTCCCAGCCAGTAGTAACCAGCCAGCTTGGCACAGTCAACAACATCATTCAAGTGAAGAAAACTGACTTTGAAGTGTTTGATGCCTTAATGGTGGATTCCCAGAAGTGCTCCGATGTGTCTGGTATGAACACGGTTATTTTATACCGCGTGTGTGCTGGTGGGGCTGTGCAGGCTGGAAATACTGTTTCTCTCTCCTCTCACTCCTAGACTCAAGCTGCCATGTTGGGTGGACGTTTATAGCTCCCCGAAGAGCCACAAAACTAATTCCTAGTTCTGTGGGGTCAGGTTGTTGAAATCTGGCCCCAAGGGAGCAGTATATCATTTGGGGGTGAGGGCATCTCCAGGACTCAGTAGGTCTGCTTGGCCACGGAGGGCAGACCCTAGAAACAGAACCAGAGCTGTGTCTCATGCCAGGGGCCGGGCCCAGGAGGCCCGGGACTGTTTCCTTGGGTCAGTTACGAGCGAGTGCCGGGAAGCCTGCCAGCTCCCTGCCTGCTCACCGCCGACCCTGGTGCCTGGAGAGTTTCGGCCTGACAGGTGATAAATGGACACCTCCTTGACCTTGGCCGTCACTTGTGTGGTACATTAGCACCTTGTCAGGGGAGAAGGAGGCTCACCACGGGAAATAAGCTACACAGCCCAACCTCCTCGGTACAGTCTGGTAAGACTTTCCCGTCTTTCAAGAGTCACCCAGTCATAGACCTTGGAATCAGTTTCTTTCCATCCAAACGCACAGGAAGAAACCACCAGGAAACGTAATACGTGCCGTTCGGGGGAGGAGGTGTCGTCATCTGAAGTGTCGGTGGCTGCTGCCCTGCCGGGTTTCGGCAGTTCTTGCAGAGGGTCAGGCCTTTCCTGGGCCCTGTGGGCGGCAGTGAGAAGGTTCCCCAGACTGTGCCTGCCTGTCTGAGAAAGTGGGTTCAGTTCAGTCCGTAAGATGACTCTTCATTGTCCCCCAGCCCAGCCTGGCGGTCCTGGCTCCAGGACCTCTTGTTCTCGTCAGCTTAGAAATGGCAGTGGGGCGCTGACTGGGGTGGGCTTTCTGGATCATTGTTGAGTAGGAACTGGAAGTCTGAACATCGAGTTCTTCTGTCTGTCTCGCTACCAGATCTTTTAGAGAAACCATTTCCTTCTTTTTCAGGTAGGTGGAAACCGCCCAAATATCCCCTACTTACTGGTAAACGTAATTTTGAGCCACGTGCTGAAGCTGTCGGTCACGTTTTCATAGCAGAGACCACCCGAGGGTGGGAGGCCGACGCCTCGCTGCTGGCGAGCCCACTTCGGCTCTCCGTAGCCTCCTCCTGTGTAGACGCTTCCTTACATCTGCGTCTGCCCCGGTGGCTCCGGGTTCCGCACTGAACGCTTCTCTCCGTCTCCCGCTGTGGTGTGGCTGGGGCGTGTGGAGGGAGCCTGTTCCCTAGGGGGTGACGGTGACGGAGCCGGCCGCAGCCGGCTGTGTCAGGTTCTTCCCAGCCAGCCCAAGGATCCGGTGACGAGCCCCATCCCAGGCGTCCTGTGAATAGCAGCTCAGTCCCTTCCGGCTGGCCAGTGAGCCACTGAGCGAGCTGCTTCCCACCTCGGGAAGTGCCGCGCTTCCAAAGCTGCTAACACGTCTCTATACTGGAGCTGCCCGAGCAGGAGTTTGAAAGGAACCCGAGAGTGATAGAGTCAAGCGCCTCTAAACATCGGGTTTTCAGTGTTGTTTTGAAATGTGCCGGTGCCTCATATAACCTGTTTTCACCACTGCCTCTGTGTAAACGGGCCGCCTCATCTTCGGTTTTGCTCTGGCCGGTGGTGCCCATAACTTGGGCTCAGCCGCGTGAGCCCCACTTGATGCCTTGGGCTTCTTTGCAGCATCAGCCAGCCCAGCCTGCAGCGAGAAGCAGCATTCCTCGGCGCAGCATGTCCCACTCGGTTATTGCTATAAACAGCTTCCTTATTAGTCTGACCCGGGCCCCCTGGCTTCGCCACAGCTGCTGGCTGCTGCCGTGGACTCTCAAGTTCACTGCTGAGTTTTCTGCCAGTCACCCAAGTTCCAGGAGGGTTTTCTCACTGCCTCCGCTCTTCCCCCCCCCCCCGCCCCCCCAGGGCCTATGTGTCCTTCAAGAGAGTATCTCTCTCGAGGGAACAAGAGCCAAGCAGCACTAGGCTGCGCTGCAAATTAAATGAGACTGCTCCTCACCTCCTGATTTTCAAAGTAAGTGCCGTGTCCCTGTCTCCCACAGAGCTGTCCAGTTCCCCGCCAGGACCCTACCACCAGGAGCCCTACGTCTCCAAACCAGAGGAACGGTTTAAAGCGCCGCCCATTCTCCCCCCACACCTGCTCCAGGTCATCCTGAACAAGGACACAGGCATCTCTGTGAGTACACAGCCGCTGGTGAGAAAGTGCAGCGTCACCCATCGGTGCTAATTGCTGGGTCCGCCTCTGCCCTGGTAACGGGCTTCTAGCAAGTTGTTCTCGAGTGTGGGTGCTGCCTCCCCGTCCAACAGAGCCAGCCTGGGCTTTTCTTCCTTGCATTTCACTCCGGCCTCAGCCCAAGTCCCGATCCTTTAAAATTTTATGGCAAAATATATAAATTACCCCTTCTTGGTACTCTATGTAATGGAATTCCTCCTTTGGCCCCCAAATTTTAGAACCTCGTGTTAATCACCGAACTGCTTTCAGAAGCATGCTTGCTCTTGGATCAGAAGTTGGGGTGTCTGGGTAACACACCAGCTCTGGGAGGTTCGTGTTGTTCACAGGAAGTGGGGTGGGGCACTCCCGGAGCGTCTGGGCTCGCGTCTGGCCCGATGGCCAAGACAGCTTCTGCCCCATGCCTCTTCTCTCCTGAGTTAGCATTTGTAAAGTTGAGGGGTGGTGCATTGAAAAAAAAAAAAAAATTTCCTTTTTCTTAAAAAGTTGGAAGGCGTGGCAACATTAAGTGCCAGACCTGTGTGAGCCTCTGTGGAGTAGTAGTGCCCCCTCCCCCAGTCATCCACGTCCTCCTCCAAAGCCCCCGTCTGAGCCCCAGAGACAGGCGTTTGCAGCCCACCGCACAGGCGTGTTCGGTAGAGCACGCGTCCTCCTGCTGTCTCCGCAAAGGCACCCATTGGACAGCCCTTTCTTCCTGCCGCTCCTTCAGTGAGTGAGAGGCCAGAGCCAGGGGCCACACCTTATAGACAGAGGCCGAGGTGAAGTCTGGCCAGAGACACACACCAGTGAACTGGAGCCCAGCGCGCACGCTGGGGCTCCCCTCAGTGGGAGCATGAGGCCTCCTCGCCTCCCCGGTCACAGTGGACGGGTCCTTGCGCTATCTGGCTTAGGAAGAAAGGACACGAGGGGCCGCCTCCTTTCCTTCACTCCCCGGTGCTGTGAAATAAAGGGGGGGGGGTCTTCCTGATCTGCAAACCCTAAATCCTCACGTCTGCTTCTCTCCCCTCACAGTGTGATCCAGCCTTGCTCCCAGAGCCCAACCACGTCATGCTGAACCACCTGTATGCGCTCTCCATCAAGGTAATGAACGACGCGTTCGTTGCTCTAGGGGCTGGGATTCTCTATATGCGCTCCGAGGGCCCCTAGCCACAGAGTGGCCTGGAGTTCCCATCCAAAGGCGCTGCGGCTGCAGCCCCGCAGGTGGGCCCAGGAAACTGTATTTGTTGAGCTCCCTTGGTGATTCTCACGCACTCGTAAGTGGGAGTCCCTGGTCATTTGGTCATGTCCGCCCTCTCTCTCAGGATGGAGTGATGGTGCTCAGCGCGACCCACCGGTACAAGAAGAAGTACGTCACCACCTTGTTGTACAAGCCCATATGAGGCGCTGGGAGCCAGCGGCGGGCCCCGGGGACCAGTGCACCACCAGCTGGGCGTGCGTGCCTCCCGCCGGAGGGAATGGACTGTAAATTCCCCATCTCACACTCTCTAGAAGCCATTTCTCACCCGCCCTAGTCCTCCCCGCAGGTCTGCTCCGGGTCCAGCGGCTCCTGGAGCACCTCGGTCTGTAGTCGTCAGCTCAGCACACAGCAGCCGAGGGCGGAGTGAGGGGCAGGCAGCCTGCAGCCGCGCCGCGGGGCGTGACGGGTGCAGCTCAAGTACACGTCCGCCAAACTGGCCACGGAGATTTTCCTAAAGCCAAAAACAAACACTAGCCTCTTTGGTAGCAAAAGTCTGGGAAGCAGGATCAAGGCCACACATAGTTTCTAATTGTATGTCTGTGTTTAAGGCCACCAGTGTGTCCCTGTTGAGGCCTGGCTGTGGCACTGACAGGTACAGCGTTGGTGTTGTCTGTCCTTTGAAGTTAGCCGTTCTGTCGCCCATTCTCTGCTCCAGCGAGGTGGACTTTCTGTAGAAATTAGAGCCTGAGTTCCAGGGGAAGTTTTACAATTGTTATTTACGCTTATGTACGCTAAGTTTTGCTTTGTTTTTAACCAGAGCTGGCTGACTCTACAGCCCTAGGTAATTTTCTACTCGTCCCAACTAGAATATAGATCATGTAAACAGACTGCTCAGCAATAATCTGTTCTCAGAACAGACTTTGGGAACCTGCTGCCAGATTTCTCCATTAAGTTGGGTGTTCCTGAGGACTGACCACAGTTAGCTGGAAGGTCGGTCAGCTTTTTCTTACCAGAACGAGGTGGCAGTGTTACCATGAAAACTCTGGAGACCCAGCCTGTGCCACCTTGCCCAGGACCTCTGCCCACGCCTGGCAAAGAAGGCCGTAGCAGCTGCTGTTGCTTATTCCGTAAGGAACTTAGAACTCGACAGCAGCCTTCTAAATTTCTGTCAGGAAGACATCCTTTGGACCAAAGCAAACCTCTATGCTCGGCTTGGTTTCCATGGAGATGCCACAGCTGTTCCCGTTAGCGCAGGTTCCTGTCCCCACGTCAAGAGAAGCTGTCATTGCGCCCTCCATTCCTGCCGGGCGATGGAGGAACAAGCTTTCTGGTTTCCTGTCCTTGTTTGATAAACCCGAATCCGGGATACTCTTTTTTTGCTACTGTTTTCAAAACACTGAATTGTTATCAACTTGACATAAAGGTTTCAATAAAGCTTTTTAAAGATAATGAGACATGTACTTAGAGAAAGCTTTGATTTCTTTTTTTTTATTATTTCAATTGTTTGGAAAAGACTGGAATCCTTCCAGAGGTTTATTCAATAACATGCTTTCCAATTGTTTTTATGTCTCGGCACACGGTGCAAATGGGAGCGTGCTGGAGCCTGCTGGGGCGGGGCTGCTGCTTCCTCACACGGAGTTTGAAAGGCTGTTAGTGGGCCTGGAAAATCGAGCCCCTTTGAACAGCTCAGTCACAAGGGGAAGCGCAGGAGAGGCAACAGTGAATGCTGCTGATGTAGGCAGCTAGACGGCACCCCCAGGTCAGAGGTTTTGCTTCCTCTTGCTCATCATCACACACCGTGAGAAGTCTGGGATGCCTGGGATCGTGACACCTGCGTGGACGCCACCAGGATGATCTGGGATCAGCTATTCTCACCAGCTAAAAGGAGCTCTGTCCCTTCTCCCCAAAAGATGCAAGGTTATAGGTATCCCTTTAACAAGGCTTTCTTCCCAGGCGTCAGGAAACATTTAAGTGAATTTCAGAGAAGGGGAATTCTGGGACGTCTGGTCCCCTGGAGGTGGAGAGCATCTTAGAAAGTATTCCTAGCTGGGTAACTCACTGTCTCACCCTAAAAATTCAAGCAATGTGGGAACCCTAGATTTTTGGGACTATAAGGATTGTGAAAAGTAGAATAAGGAAATATGTAAAAATCCTCTTTCCAAAACTATATGTGTTTTTAAAAATACAATTGAAAATACACAGCTAACTTCAAAAACATGAAAGGTATATTCAAACACCAGAAATGAAGAAACCATCGCTGTGTTGGCGGGCCTCCGGGGCTGGGGTCTGACACCCACCCCTGGGTGGGAAGCCCCCACGTGATTCGGGGGCCTTCTTGGTGCTGCCCTTGGTGTAAGCGGGATGAGAGACTGGCTACTGGCCAGGCCAGGGCTGGCAGCCTTCAGCCCTGGCTGCAGGGGGAAACAGCAAGAAGTGGGAAAATGCCTGCAAATTGGCTGTACCCACACAGTTCAGCAGAAGCTACACTGAAAATCCAGTGTAAAAACTAATTTGCAGCCAGGAAACCCAGTGATGGTCCTCCACAGCCCCGGGGCCACCCCCAGAGGTGACGGCCACAGCAGAGCGCAAGCGCCAACCCCCAGACACTGGGACGTGGTGTCAGCATTCACCACAGCTGTTTGTGTATTCAAACGACTTCATTTTCTCTAAAAAGCAACCCAGAAAGGAAGTCCCCTGTGGTCCAGGAGATTGCTCAGACCCAAGGGAAAGACTTTACACCCAGCAGGTGATGGAGACTTTCACAGATGTGGAAGACAAGACCCTGCTCTGCCCAAACCCCAAGGGCAGGGCCACGCGGAGAACTGAGGTGTCCGTGACCCGGGTAATGTCTCCTCGGTTAGCATACCGACTATGGGTGAGGACGGGTCACATGGTTAGTTCAGATTGCTTGTGAACGGAGATAGATTTTTCCCTCCAAAGTCTACATACAAATGAGTTTATGGAGGCAAAGGCAAGCCTTTAAATTACTAACATGTGAAATGGTATTGCATGATAAAATAGAACCAGATATCAACATGCTGAAACAAAAGGTCAAAGGCCCCCAGCAAGGCCGCTTTCTTCCCTCGGGCTCTGCGTGTGGGTGTAACTGAGGCAGACAATAGTGCTCCAAGACCTGGCCACGCCTGACGTTACATTGGAGTTGGCCATTCGGCAGCCCCTCTCAGAGTGTGGACACAACCGAGATTAGGGACAGCCAGTTCGGCTGCTGACCACCATGGTTGACACTGGGCAAATCACATGACCTCTCTGATTTCTTCCCTTGAAAGAACAAGAAACTAGCTTAGATGGTCCCTAGGGCTCATTTCATTTCACATCAGAAGCCACGAAGCTTTTGCAACACGAATGGGATATGGGCACAGACAGGAAGTTAAGGGGCCAGAAGTGCCTGCACTGCGAGCTCAGTGAGAAGACCCCCATGGCTCCAAAGGCCAAGCCTCAAACCCATGACATCAGAGTGATCCCATCCACAGCTGAGGTCCGAAACACCACCATTTTAGGGAAAAGCAAAATTTCATGTCGTTTAGCTCAGCTGCTTCCAGATGAGCACGGCTTCATTTCTGAGCAGGCGCTCAGTTCTGATGCCTGACCCACCGACAGGCATCGGAACCGGTGGGTTTGAGTGAGCTCATGAAGACTGAAGGCTGTGGACCCCTCAGATCTTCGCCCAGCTTCTGAGCCGTCCCGCCTTAACCCCTCTCTTGATCAGTAAGTTAGTGCAGGAAAGAACACGAGACGATTGTAATTGTCTTCAGGAGAAAACAAGGAAATTAAGATCATACACGCATTTCTTCTAAAACCCAGGTCATCCAGCTAATTATAAAAATAGCCAGAAGAGCTCTCTTAAGAGTCGTCACTGCTGGGAGCCAGACTCAGGATCCTGACAGCTGGGGCCCAGCCCTGTCCCTGGGAGGGACCACTGGGCCCTGCCAGCAGGGTCACCCCCCACCCCACCCACCTGGTATTTGGCCTGGATGAGGATGCTAGCCCTTCCCACTCCCTTTTCTCCTCTCCTGGAGCGAATTCACCCATCTCACCTGGAAAGTTCAACATCGAGTGAGAACAAGAGACAGTTCCTGCTGCATGTACCCTGGGCCAACTTATTTTTTATTTTCCCTTTGTAGTTTTCTGAAAGACCGGCTGAGTTAAGTCATTTTCAAGGTTCTTTCCTCTAACAATCCCTTCCGGGCAAACAGAGTTCCATTAATCATTGATAGACTCAAGGAAAAGCCAGGTGATCGACACTATTTTATTTCCACTGCCCCCACCCTCCCAGCTTCAGGAAAATAAAGACATTTGATTAGGCAAGTGATAAACCATTTTTCTCAGAGCAACACGGTGTGCCTAGAGCCACTGTCCCCACGCTTCAGACATTACAATCAATATTTAAAGTGCAATAAAAGAGACCTGACTAGGACAGGCCAAGGTTCCTTGACCTTGGCACTACTGACACTTTGGGCCTGAGAATTTTGGGGGGGGCAGGGGGCGAAGGAGGGGGAAAGCTGTCCTGAGCATTATAGGACATTTAGCAGCATCCCTGGCCTCTACCCTCTAGGTGACAACCAAAAATACCTCCAGACACTGTCAAATGTCCTCGGGGGAGGGGAGCAAAGTCTCCCCTAGTTGAGAAGCACGGGAACAAGCCTCTTTAACTGTTGTATTGAGACTGAAAGTTTAACTAGTCCCACCTACCCGTGGGCATAGATTTGAGGCTTTAGACTTAAATCTGTGTGAAGGTTTCTAAAGCCAACCACGTTCAAGAGACCCAATCTGAAGACAAGCACACAAGTTCAGTCCTATGGCTTAATAGCCAATCGTCCCTTTTTGGCCTAAGTCCCCAAATCCTCAAGGGTTTTCAGGGTTAGGGGATTTGCCTGTTTAGTCAGCCTCTTTAGTCTTTTGAAAACTAAACTGTAAGAGCAGGAACATGGCACCGAGTTTTGTGCTTAAGTCACAGGAATGTGGTGCGGCTGAGTAGCGTGTGGGTTGTTTCTCGGAGGTCATTCCTGAGGGTTCCAGGGACCTTCCTGGCGCATTCCTTTTGGAACAAACCACGTTTACTGACGCTTTAGAAGTACTCTGTGGTCGATGAGAACCCTCGGGGCAGTGACTGATATGTCTGGTTGACATTTCATGGACTTTTTCTAATACAAGAAAGGTTCCAACATTTCACGGGCTCATCTTCTCAATTATTTCGTTATTATAGTTATGACCTTGGGCAGATTTTTATTCCTAACAGTAAAAGGGAACAGAGGATCAGAATTACAACCACGGTTCCCGCCGCCAGCCATGTGAGATACACCACTGTAAGTCGGATTTTAACTGCAGTCAGGTTACTTCAGAAAACAAACAAACATCAAAGACTAAAAGCAGCAGGAGCCGTGAGAAAAATCACCCATTGCCAAAACTGATGTCCTTATCTGGATCAAGGAAAATTTTAGTAAAACTGGGGAAAAAAATCATAGAAAAAATTTTTCCTTGTAGACTATAAAAATTCAACTAGTTAAAAATAGGAATATGCCCTGGCTGGCATAGCTCAGTGGATTGAGCGCGGGCTGAGAACCAAAGTGTCGCAGGTTCGATTCCCAGTCAGGGCACATGCCTGGGTTGCAGGCCCTGGCCCCCAGCAACTGCACATTGATGTTTCTCTCTTTCTCCCTCCCTTCCCTCTCTAAAAATGAATAAATAAAATCTTTAAAAAAATAGGAATATGTACACTTTAAATTACCTTGATCTGAACTCCTCCCCCCAAAGAAATCTATCTACATCTTTAAATTACTATGGCCTCCTAATGGATGAGAGGAATTTTAAGGTGGCTTTTCCTGGTCAGCTGCATCCCAGGGAAGCTGGGCAATCCTTTCTCGAGTAACCCTTTTGAAATGGCCTGACTGCATAAGGAGCTTTCCAGTTCTGCAGTCCTACAGAGTGACCTCCATAGCCGCTTTATGGCTCATTGGAAGTGCTGACCAAACATGGGCAAGGTCGCGCCTTAGGAAAGAACATCGCCAGTCTCTTGACTCCGGGGGGGCAGTGTGCTCTGAGCTCTGTGTGGTTCCCACCGCCCCAGAGACACAGAGACACAGCCTCGTGGGCGAGGGAGGGCCCAGGCCGCGATAACAAGCCTGTGCTGACACTGGCCGTACTCAGCACTTTTATGTTCTCGCTCAGGAAAAGAAGAGGTCACTGCACTAAAGCAAACATTTTAAATCATTGCTTTATTTTACTATTTGTTCAACAGCAAAGTTCATTCATTCCTCTCAAGGCGGATCTTGAAGTGTTCCTTTCCTCGTTCTGAATAAAAAAGTAATGAAGAAAAAGCCTGTACTTTTGGAGACCTAGAATCTTGTTTATGCTAAGAAGCTTTTGACTGCAATTTCGTGTTGCAATTATTTCCTGCTGGCATCTCGGTGGTCACACGGAGCTCCCCACCC